ATTTTTAATTCATGCCGAATTATTACCAGGGTGACGGTTCTGTTCAGGATAATTTTTTGCAAAGAATAGAAAAAAGGTAGGAACAAAACACCGCCAATTACAATTTTTTTTTGACAGGGCGAAGTCTGTCGGGTCGGCTAGTATATATATATATATATATATACAAAATTATATATAGAATAAATTAATCATGGGATTAATAAAACTTGAATGAAGCTGAAAGCAAAAGTTATTTGAAATAAATAAAATATTTAATGCTCCTACGGTCAGAGGTCATGACAGGTCTGATTTAAATTTTGGAATTCTTACAGTCGAATCCCAAAAAACATACAAAATATTTAAAGCATTATAATAAAGTATATATTTAATCATGATGTTTATTAAGAAGTGTAAAGAAAATTATTGAAGTTCGATTTTATCATTTCAGTTCAAGGTTCATCCACACATGGAATCGAAAGCGATGTGTGTTACTAACCTTTACAAAATGCATCGCAGTATTTATTTTTCAAAATGCAATTTTAATTCTAAGAATAAATTTTAGTTTATATTCAGCATTCATCGTATCTATTTTTCTTTGAAAGCGATTGACAAATAATATTCAAAATAATCTGAAGAGCATGTTTTCTTAAAATATTCCAATATCAGACTTCATACTAAATGTACGTTACTCAAATAGTCTTTTATAAATAAATCAAAATAAAATTGAAGACTTTGCCGAACATACTTATAGAAAACAAAACAAAAGTTAAATAAAAATTTGCTATCTAAATTAGTTGAATAATTATTAACGCTCCAAATTCAATTTACCAGGAATTATTTTTTTAACTATAAAATTTATTTCATTTGCAAATCAAATTGCAGCTCGTAATGAATAAAGAAACAGTATTGTTCTATACAATTCTAGTTCTATTTTTAATAAATTACGTGGATATTCTTGCCTTTATATCAAGAAATATTTTGTTGACGAATGGCAATAAATAATTGCTAAATTCTATTTATTACTGTACATAATGATTATTTTTATAAATTAAAAATTAGCTATTATAAAGAAAACCACACTTTTGTGGATACATACAGTATCTGACCCATTTTTCTGGTATCATTTTTAAATATCCAAGGTAAAAAAGCTCAACTATCATCAAATAAAAAAAAATAGCTCAACTTTAAAGGATACACAGATGAATTTATTAACATAAAAAATTGCCGAACACATTTAATTATTTACACGTTGTTCGTAAAAATAGAATTATTTATTCCTATAAATAATAGTTTTTTTCGGTCAAAGAAATATTATTTTCACATCTAAAATTTGCTGAGTTTGGACATCGTAAAATGTATGGGCGTTGGAATTTTTAATAGCGTTGAAGATTTTTTAATATATTTAAGTTTACTGAACTAATACAATCAAATTCACTGACCTGATCTGATCCTTTTTAGCTCTGCTAAAAATATTCAGTTTACCAGCTATCTTCTGATGTCGATTACACTCCAAATTCTATATCACACCATCTTAAACATCTATAATTGGATATATTTGTTATTGAAACTTGAACTGTTTATTGTTATTAAATTGTTGCATGTTATTAAAACTAAAAACAAAAAAAAATGTAGCTGGTTGATTTATATAACTTGATGAAAGTAACATTAACCATTGTCGCAAAAGACTTTCTGTCTGATTTTTGTATTCGATAAAATTAATATGAAAAATATAATAGACCTTCAATTTTATCTTTTACTAATAGCAATTAGAATTTACTAGTTCTATAATCTTGTCATATATAATAACTTTTTAACGATGTGACATTTTAGATGGCAACCCAATGGCTGGGTTATCTCTTTTTGTAACGACTTTTTTTCAGATACAGCAATGCCGGCTAAAGCATCGATTATAATTAATTTCCCGTAGCGCAAGTTACAGTAATCGCAAAGAAAGGAAAATGCAATGAAAAAAATTCTAAATTATCAAAAAACCAAATTTAAAAAAAAAAAACAATTTTTTATGAATATACACATAAGTTGTTTGTAGAATACGCTCGTCGCCCAATTTAAAAAAGCACTTGTAAGTTTACACTGTGTATATTTATAATAAATAATGCATTTGAAATTATTCAAAGCAATTAATTACGGTACGGAAAGTACCAGCAATTTGCCTTAAGGCACAATGCCATGCGCCCCACTAGTTATCACCTTGAACGGAAATCCGTCATTCATGCCAAAAAATAAAAACAAATGTACATTGTATATTAAAAAAAAAAAAAACATATTTTAATAAATTTATTTTCATAAGAGAAGACATATTTTCAATATTTTTATACAAAGTCAAGAAAACTATTCTTAACTATTACATTTAAAAAGTATCATGGTTAAGTCTACTCCACATATCTTCTAGTATAATTAGTGCTGCTTCGAAAGACTTATCATCACCATGCTGTTTATGAAAAGCGATTGAATCTTGGTCGGTTCTTCCCTTGCAGATAATATTTAAAATTTTATAAGGTAAGGCATAGGATTTCTGACAGTAGAAGAAAGTATGACTTGTCCGATGCCATTACCCGAATTTACTCCATAATGGGAAGCAAAATCCACCAATTCCAGGTCGAATGAAAAAGTCAAGCCTCTTCGTTTTTACGAGTGTGGTTAGATGGAATTTGACGTTCCGATCGATACGCCTTCATGTTGGTGAGCCTTTCGCGCATTGTTTTCATCCGATTAGGAACTGCGATGAGGTGAGCAACCAAGGTGGGGATCTGTGGCTGCTGCAGCTTCGTAAATCCATTGAAGGACGACGATTCCCTTTTTCAAGTCGTCCAAAAAATTTATTTAATTTCGGCTTCGAGGTCCATCAACATAATGTCCACATCATAGATTAAAGTTAGAATACTTTAACACAAGATG